TACTAAAAATTCGTGAAAAAAAAACGAAAAACTCCAAAGTCCAATAGAATATACTTATGATAATTTTCCATTTTAAACATCAGTCGCACGTCTGTATTGCCGAATGTATAATAATCACATGATAAGTTATTCGGGGTTATCACGGGGCCTTATTCGCGATACACAGTAGGGTGACCATGATCCCTCACACTAGATACACTGGACTGTTTATTGAATAGCCGCTACGTTTGTTTTTGTTTACAAATATCGACGCTAACATTGAAAGTAATGAGTGGTTTACTGACCTGGAATAGGAATGGAGCTAAATAATTTGTTCTGATATAGGTAAAACATTGTCGTTGATCTCTAACATGAGTTTGCAAAAATTCTTTAAACAAGAACCAATTTGATATTGAATGGAAATATACTTTGGATAAAATAAATTACCGTGTTTAAAATATAGGTATACATGTCTAAATACAACGAGTTAATTTAAATACTACGAAACGCGTAGTAACATATATACGATCATCAAATATTTACAATTCGAATATCATCAAATATAGAGTAATACGTCACAATATTATATAAATACTACGTTCATAATATCCGATCACTTGTTCCAACAAACGAGCCAATTCTATCGACCCACTTACAATCGCCACGACCCAATCCGCGAATTACTGGCGCGAGCATGGCCACTCTACCAACGGGTAGTAGAACCAAGGTCGCACTCACACATTCGCAAACGTCTATGAAATCCTTGGCAGCGGTTAAAGACCTACGGAAGTTGTTACGTCTAACGTTAGTTGAGCTACCGCCGTCAATACACTTCCCCCTTTTTGACGTACATTTCGGTCATGGATGGAGATCAGGCTGACTGGTTCAAAGGTTTTATGTCATCATGTCATGCGGCCTTCAATTCCTATATTTATGTAAACCGCGTGAACAAGTTTCGCAACGCTGTTGTTAGGGGGAAGTGTTTTTTTTTTTCAAAACCGGCAATATTTCATATCTTAGTACGCCTTGTGCGATATGCGAAGGAAGCATTTAGCATCAAACTTTGGACTTGTACTCCTTGATGTAACGGACTCTATGGAGATTGAAACTACACGAATGATTCAAGTTGATGGCCATCGAAAAAGGAGTTACTAATATTAAAAGTGACATCGTGGATTAAATAACTTTAATTTGAATGTGACTCGTTGTCTTAGAATAGACATTATGAAATTATTCATAAATAAGATGGAGCTTAAGTTTATTACTCTTCCTACACTGAATGAACACTTAGTGGGAGGGTTGTGACGTAAATTTCCAACCTTAGAACAATATTTATAATCCTAACAAAGCTAAAGCTACAAAAGTAGACAATTATGGTACTATTGATAATAAATCAAGTAAAACGAACGAATGCGACAGAGAAAAAGCAATCAATAATACAGCTATTACAGAGCATGATTTTGAAGATACAAAAGAGCCCCTTCTGAGCCAATCAAAGAAACACCAAGAACACAATAATTGAGCAACAGGAAGCATAAGAGGTTGATGAGGTCGAACGAGATATCTTCATAAAACATTAAACATAGGAAACCGACTATCTATAGCAATAAAAAGAGAATAAAATTGATTATTCGTTCAAGGCTGTTAACTATAGAATTCGTATAAAAATTCATTGTAATTTATTCCTAGAAAGGGACAGTTCATGTAGATTGATTGTTGTCGACGAAATATTGCAAAAATAGAATAGTAAACATATTAAAACAAATGTTCGTAGCCCACAGCAGTGGACATGAAAATTTTCCAGAAAATTCTATCGATTGGTCTGTTAACATCTGTACATAAATTTAAATTAATTAATAAAAAATACACGTAACCATTTAAAAGGAAGTATGTCGAGCAAATATTTTAACAGTTAAATAAATATTTTACTTCAAGAATTGTATATTTTACTGATTTCGTGTTGTATGTTGTTGGAGGCGCTGCTCCGATATAACAGCCGAATTTTTACTCTCATCCTGGCCTATGACATATCTATTTGAACACTAAATTATAAGTGTTAGAATACTAATTTGTATAATCCAAGAATATCCCACGACATTAAAATCTCACATAATAATAAAGAAACGTGTTGTACTTAAATCAATCATCACACGGTTGTGATTTACCAATGTGAGTCTTATAATGACGATACAAGGTCTAAGATAACTTACAACCAGTTAAGGACCAGATTGATCAATTTGACACAGTGTGTCTGAACTTTGGCATTACTTGATAAAGTTGAGAAAACATATTTTAGAAAAATAGATTTGCCATCGTTTAGTGTCTTAAGACAACGTGATAAGGGTTACAATTGAATGGTAAAGATTATTATTAAAATTGGTAATGAGTAATTGATAGTCGCCTAGCAAAATATTGGATGGATTCATTCATAAAAAGCAGTCGCGTCAGTTTGTTTGCGTCGCGTCGTTCCGTTGTTTTTGAATGGACAAAGTGGTTGAATGATTTATTTTTAAATCGTTTAGTGATAGCGAAAACAAATTGGCTAGACGCTGAAATATTATAAAAACAAACAAGTATGTCATGTTAAATTAACAGTATCAGAAAAATTGAAAATAATATATATTGTTTTAGCATGCTTTTAAAAGAATTAAACGTTTTATGAATAAATTTAATGAATAGTTTATATGTGTTTCCCAACTATTAATATAATTGAATATAGTGAAAACAATCCCTGAATAAAAAGTCAAACAAAATATAATAGAAACTTACCTCAGAACTTTTCTTCTATTATTAGGATGTAATCGGCGCGCCATCTGTCGGTCTATCATAGACAACTTTGCATGAATCTCTTCATTTGTAAAAATAGCTTCATTCTCATAATCTCTTTGCAATTGTTCTTTGGTTATTTGGAAGTTGGAAAAATCTATTTTGACTGGAGCAGATGTTGATGGTTCTTCAATATTTTCTCCAAGATCTTCTGTATTTCCAAGTTTTGACACTTCTTCTGTGCTTTTAATTCCTGATAAATCTGCGAGATCTTCGTTTTTAGTTTCTACCGAATGTTCAGTGCTTTTTAAGTTTACGAGATCTTCTCTGCTTTCAGAATCCATGATATTTTCTGTGTTCTTATCTTCTAGTAGTTGTGCTTTATCTTCTATTTCTTTAATATTCTCTACCATTCCCATATTCCTTTTTCGCCTCGATTTATCCCAAAGCAAGGTTTCACCATCATCCATATTTTCAACTAGAATTTTGTAAACAATTGATTCTATGTAGTAGTTTGTTCCACCAACCACAATCGGTATTTTTCCTTGTTCTGTTAAGTTGTCTATCTGATTAAGTTTAAATTAAGGAAATCATGTTGGTTTTATAAAAATTAACGATAGAAGTAAAGTTATAATGAAAAAATGGCTGGGTTTTAGATTAAGATGACTGTTAATATTAACAAAATCAAGTTAAACATAATAATCAAAGATGTTTCTGAGGGCGAACGTATCAGATTGATGGAATTCAAACAAGTGTTATCTAAGTTGATCTTCATTACTTTCGACGGCTCTATAATTTTAATGAGAACTAATTAAAACGACAATTAGGGAACTACTTAAATCTAATGACATACATAAACAGTGTAATCATAAATCACTAACGATAATTAAAAATCCAGAAGCAACTACGAAGTTCGGAATAACATTGAATTATATTTTCGGTATTTTAGAACTCAGCTCACAAAGACCACCAACGTACCGCTAAATAATAACATAGGTAAAGCAAAAACCGTTGATAACTAATACTAAACAGACGAGGAAAACCACATTAATAAAAATAATACAGTAACAATCAATCTTTCGATCATCAAGTCAAACCAAATCGAAGGAACGGTACCTCCAATAGCCCAATATTCACTTTTGAATGACGAAATTGCTCGTTAGCAGAGTACATGGGTACATACTTATAATACAGACATGACGATGTACCAAATGTGTAAGCTACTTTGGTCAACATAAGAGGATTATGTGGTCAATGGCCGAGACGCGAAAGAAGGTAAACCTTTCAAATACTTGTCAGAGGTGACCGGCACTACTACGGTTTGATCAACGAATTTTTCATATGCTTTGGAATATTTGAAGATCTTCATCAAACAACTTGTCGAACTATTCAACTATCGCCACTAAAATCGAATACAATAATGACAGTAACTTGTTGAGAAGCAATCACAGCAAAATTGAAATTAAACTTAACGCCTTTATAATAGTTTCTCACGTACTTTATTGCGCTCTTTGCACCCAATAATGTAACAATGATATTAATCACTGTTTTAGCTGCTTTTGTTTCTAAAACTAAATTGTAACTTTAATGAAAACGTTTACACCTTTCTAATTATTATTAACTGCAGTATAAAGTTCACTATTGAATAAAACTTTTGTTTTTGCATAGATGAGTAAATTACTGTCAAATTATTGAGCATCTTTGCGTTTAGTTCGTTAGGTTCTTAAGTGAACGGTTCGAGCTTAGCATGAGTCATAATTACTACATTATTTGAGTCTAGTATGACTAAATTAGGCTCCGCAATACTGCCAGTGACGTGTTTTACGCCTACACGTCCATTAGTGTTGCAGTTGACCCTTGCGGCACCCAGCTGATATTCTAGATAAGTTTCCCTTTCACACGCACTGTTATTGTTGTTGGTTTGTTGAATTGTAATGATTTCATTACACATTTCTCTATGTAGTATTTAAACACTTGTAGAAGACAAATTATTAATACAAATAGTATACAGTACAAAATGATTAACGAAGTTCTTAATAAAAAAGTTCCATGTCATGTCTCTGACATGTAAAATACGTTACTCGCGAATCATAATTCAAAACATAATCTAACAAGACTCGTAGAATACAAAAGAAAGGCGTTATCATACTTATCATTCTTCGAATCCCTAAACACGTGTAATTTATGAAAAGTGTTACATAATCAACGAAAAATCCACATATTCATACTGCCCTAGAAACAGTCGTTAGCAACAAAAAACCTTTTTAACCTATAAATGTTGAAACTCAATATTTGCTAAATTAATACCATATTGTATGGGATAGTATACATGTGAAATTGTTAAACGATTCAGTAACTGTGAGCATATATTTAAACAAATGTTCTTTACAAAGTTGTAGGTCATATAGACGTGAAATTGATGGTCAAATTTAAATTCCTATGTTATGGCTTTAGTTTGTATGTTTTGGGGTTTATTAAATTTTTGACAAAAGGTTTTAGTAAAATTGATGGCGCATCTCACAAGGTACCAATACTCTATAGCCTCTCTATACGCGTTGACGCATCCCCAAGGAACCATATCACATTTTTCTGAATTAGTAGAAGCTTATGTGCTCAAATTTATTCAGACATTGTGGTGTGGTTGAATATCATACCATCATCACCAAGAATGAGCCGGCTCCACCGGAGCGATACCACGGCCTCACAGAAAACCGACGTGAAAACACATTTGCGTTGTGTGAGTGAGGTTACTAGAGGCCTAATAACCTCCTTCCCCGGTCTCCCCAATCCCCGAATTCCCCACAATCCTCAAATTCCGAATTTCCAAAAGGCCAGTAACGGCCTTGTAACGCTTCTGGTGATTCAGGTGTCCATAGGGGGCGCCGATGGCTTACCATCAGGTGATCCGTCTGCTCGTTTACCGTCTTATATCAAAAAAATATTAACCCATTCATCCACAAACGTCTTCAATTTTCCACTTGTAACATACATATGTATAAGCAAGATCAAAAAATCCCACGGGAACTAAATAAACTTCAATTTTATGTCGCGTCATTTGCAAACGAAGCTGTTGTGAACCAGGATTTATTAAATGCAAGTGGTATAATTGTCCTCATAATCGCTGTAGGAGTTACTTCCCGAGTCGTTAAAACTCAACTGCAGTGCATCTACTTTAAGTTCATGCAATGGCCCATCAAATGCAACTATTACTTCTCCTTAATAATACAAATTACACCTATACAGCTAGCTGAATACTGAGAAATTTGCAAATTATTTTTCTTGTAGAGATGACTGTTTAGACACTATGCTACTTTACTTCAGAAAAAACTAGTCGTATTCGCGGGAAACATTAACAAGTAGGATTTGATAAGCGATGAGATCACGGTGACATAAAGGTGAAGAATGGAGCATAGTAGAACAATCTGTAAGTATTTTATCAAGATACAACGAGAAGAAAAAAATATTCTAATTCAAAAATGCAAAAAGAGAGAATGGTACACTCTGGGATTAGTTTAAAATGTGCAATGATCCAATAGGCAGTTACACTCATTCTTGTATACAAAAATAATAGTGTTTTAATTCATCTTGATAGCATGTAGGACACAGATCACTGCGCAATCTCCTTAATTCAATTCAAAAAAGGATACAATCTTAAGTGCTCTGTTTCTAAAGTCGACGACTGTGAACATCTGATGTGGTTCCAGAATGTCCAGGAGATGGTGTGGCGCCATCTCTCGTTCTTTGGCGGAGGCCTTTGCAGTCACGACATCGAGGCCTTTGTAAATCTGTAACAAAAAGAAATAACTTTAAGGAAACTAAACACCTCAACAGTCCACCTCATCACTGAGATTTATTATATCAGATAAATTCATATTAGATGATCCTATACAAAAAAGCTTATCGTACAAACTTCCACATTTCTTACAAAACAGATACACGCATTTACCAAGAAGACCACCATAACTTATCAACTACAAGCAAAAAAACAGCAGTAGCAGCGCCATGAATCAAAAACCCTCTTTATGGAAAATTTCCCCCACATGCATTGAGAACAGTCAATTTCTACCCACATCCATGTCACATTATAAATCACGAAAAATTCTATTATTACACCTTCAATGGATCGTGGGACATTATGGTAATTCAAGTAAAACACCATGAAATATATGTAACGGGGCTGCCGTGGAGGGTGTGACATACATCTGAATAATCCTGCTGGCATCTTTCAATTCTCATTATTGCACGTTAATGGCGATGGCTGCGAGCATTTAGAACGATTCTCCTATTATTAGAATATCATAATTTTTCACTTAAATTGCCGTTCAGTAAGGATTGATAATAATTTCGCTGTTGATAATGTTACCATCTATTTTGACAATAAGATCTTTATTTTTATTCATCCTTGCCTTACCTGTTTTAAGTACAAACCCCTCAAGAGAGAATCAGAAATGCTAGAGAATTGAGTCAACATGCTCAAAGAAGTATTTAGTTAGTACATTATATGGTTGTGATTATTAAAATACCTTTTTTTCCAGCACTACACTGGTATTCACAGGGAACGGCCTCAACAAAACGACAGATTGTGCAAAAAATTTGACGTAGTGAAATGGCGATTAAATTTATTGCTACGAAACGGCGCTAGTGTAGATTAAAGACACTATCTAGAAATCTATTAAGAGATAAAGAGAAATGATAATAATGTTAGTAAATACATATATTCATAACAATGTTGATAAAGATGATAAACAAAACAAAATACGCATCAACACAATCAGAAAGTTGCTTTCGTATGTATCGTATTACGTACGACATGATAATGTGTAACATTAAAAATATGAAAAATTACGCATTTTTCTACAAAGATAAAGTATCTAAAGTTCCTTTTAAGTATTCTAGGGCCTACCACAGATAGGGCCTAGTAAGGCTGATGCCCGATACGGAGCCGCGGAAGGCCAAACGGTTTGCCGGGAGTAGGAGGAATAAGAACGGGGTGGTTTTTAGTCAGTAAGAGTCTGACACTCCTTCCCGTCAAACCCAAGGCGGGATAAGTCGTTGGATGATTTTGCCCCTCAAAAAAAATAAAAAATAACTTTTTACATCTGTTGTGGAGTTTCTAATCAAAAATCAAGATTCATATAGAAATTACGGGTTACTCGTTCGGTCTATACGATGCGTCCAAAAAGATGAGGTAGAGGCGAAAGATTACATATTTCAATATGTCCAAAAACTTAGGTAAGCAGAACATCTGACATTCGCAAAGATGTGTCGTTGTGCCAGATAAGAGAAATGAGATAAATAATAGTACCAGTCAAGTTATCATCGAAATTACCAGGTCACGAAGAATTACGCATTATTTCAATGTCATTGGGTGTTGCGCAATTGTTCCTATTATCAGCACATTATAATCAGGCTCGATCCTAAATTATGGCACTTTGCGGTTTGCGTCAGTCAGTCAGCTGATTGCTGGAATAGTGGGCGAATGTTCTGGAGTACCTATATTATTAGTAGATTTCATTTGATGCCTAAAAATGGGTTAAAAGTGGGTGTTAAAGCCGTTTAATGTTATGTAATAATAGCAATTAATAGATGTAAAAAAAATAACTATTGTTATATATGGCGTTGCATATTCTATAGAAATTTTTCATACAGCTTCAGTTACAGCGCGTAAAAGGACCACATTTTTGGAAGTCTTAGGAAAATGATTATGCAATTAACGTATTGGTACGGAATTACCACTATATTTATCTTTATTGGATAGGCTATTAATAATTACAGCATGACACATAGTCACAGCACTCTAGAGCGTGAACAGGAGCCTATACACAAACATACAAAATTTTTCTCCGAATCTCCCAAAAAAACAACATTTGGGATATTCCAAAAAAAACATTAGCAATTACTCTTTTAAAAACAAATTAATCATAGATACATAAGACAAGACGGGTCGGATAAACCCAAATATGTTCGTATACCTATTATATCTATATGACACAATTATACATATATAAAACTGGGTGATAAGGCCAATGTGACTTTGATTTTGTGAATGAAACTCGGAAGGGCAACTTGTGTAACATATAACATGATAGATAACCCCAGAACAAAGTATCAATGATTATTTCTTTAACAGCTCAAGATTTGGTTCATTTGCGCAAATCGCCATTTTTTTGGTCTTTTGTGTCCAAATTATTATTTGGTTTAAGATAAGAAGTGGTGTCAGTCAGAGATGATTGGTCTGAGACACGTGAACTTATATTTGTCGATATGCCATTATTTTAGGGGGAAAAATCATCGAATGACTTCTTTCGCCTGGGTGAGGCGGGAGGGAGTATCAGACTCTTACTGACTAAAAATCACCCCGTTCCTACTCCTGCACTTCGAGCCGGAGCCTCGGCAACCCGTTAAGTTCTCCGCGGCTCAGAAATGCCATAGATCCCAAATTTCATCAAAATTGGGTCAAATCCACGTTGTTTTTTATGGAACAGGAGACAAGCCGCCCAAGGACACCCGCAACACCAGAGGAGACAAAGGTGCGTTGCCGGCCTTTCAAAAAGGAGTACGCTCTTTTCTTGAAGGTTTGAGGGTCGTATCGGTTCGGAAATACCGCCGACGACAGATCATTCCACGTTTAATCTATCTTTGTATCTTAACTCAATAAAATCAGTTTGCTCGTTTATATGTTAAAAAAGAACACACATACTCTTGTATCTTATAATTGTCGGAGACTTGTGATTTTTATAATATTACTAGCTGTTACCCGTGACTTCGTCCGCATAGGATAGGATTCCTGTTTTATCCCACGGGAGCATTTAATCGGGATAAAAAGTATCCCACCACCTAAGTCAGTCCATACAATGTATATGTATACAAAATTTCCTTACAATCCGTTCAGTATTTTCAGCGTGATTGACGGACAAACGTCCAAGGAAAAAACTTACAACTTTATAATATTAGTGTGAATTTTACTTTTAAAACATTAATGTAATTTTCATCAGCAAGCAATCTTGTACTGTAAATGAATAAGTAATACGTTTCTATAAGATTAGTTTAAGATTAATTTCATAAGAGTGATAATGCAACAATGTATTTTAGAACATAAAGGCATTAGGTACTTATAGACTGCCTAAAAGTAGGTCTCGTTAACGACTCCGCCAAATGTCACCGGTCAAAGTCATTTTGGGTTGGGTTTCCTAACTAAATTACTAGTTGAAATTTAGTGTTCTGTGAATATTTATTTTATTTGGTCATAAGTCATAAATAATTATGGGTCTACACTTACATGTCTTTTACTGTCAGGGAATATATTTTTTTTTATGGCATAAGTCGGTAAACGAGCAGACGGATCACCTGATGGTAAGCAATCGGCGTCGCCCATGGACACCTGGAACACCAAAGGCATTACAAGTGCGTTACCGGCCTTTTAGGGATTAGGAGTTTGAGGATCGTTGGGGATTCAGGAATTGGGGAGATTGGAGAAGAGGAGGGTAATTGGGCCTCCGGTAACCTCACTCACACGACGAAACACAACGCAAGCGTTGCTTCACGTCGGTTTTATGGGATAGGGGACGATCAAGAAGGCTTGGTGGTAGTATGAGAGACTACCTGACAATTTTTTTTAACGCTCCACATTAGGGTTTTCTCCAGTGTCGTGGGTGCGTTTATAAACACACAAGTTCACATACACATCACACCCAGACCTGGAACAACCATTGGCCACTCGGCCAATGAGACTACAGAGATTTTTAGAAAACCCAGTAATACTTTGCCCGACCCGGGAATCAAACCCGAGACCCCTTGCCCAGCAGTCGCACTTGCGAGCACTTGGCCAACGAGGGAAGTCAGGAAAAGATTTGTAAGTGAGAATTTGTTTGTGTCACTAAAAACTAGAACACTCAAGTAATTCCGAGGCATTTCGTAATTTGTCCCTACATTTCTATTTAAAACAAAAACCCAAAGAGGAATCATCCAAGTGAACCGTCTTGAACATTCACTGATTACATTTCTTTATTTTGATAAATAATTTAATTTTACTTAAATAATGAATACGTTTGTTTAACTAAAAATCGCGGGTTAATCACGTGAATATACTGAGAAAAGCTCTACTAGTTTCGAACCACAGAGGGGTTCTTCCTCATAAGAAGCGTGCGCGGTTGCGCCGATATGTCACGCAGCCTACTGGGTAGATAATTTAGTATGTTTCCCGATAGTTATTATAAAAAAATATGTTTATTCTTACGTGACTGAGCCGAAAAATATAACAATGAATTTGGTATACACGAAAGTAATGAACGTTCATTCTTTGAGCAATTTACATAAATTTATCAGCACCATAGATATTTTAAAGGGTCCTTCATGCCAAATACACTTATTTATATATATAAACAAACTATTGACAATTATATCACAGGAAAAAAAATACATTTCTGCCTTGCTCTAACACCAAAACCATACTATTTACTTCTTAAATGATATACATTTATTGAAATCATACTTATTATATATACAATTAATATTAACTATAACTAAATGAAAATATATACAACTTAAAATATAAATAACTAGGAACTAAAATATTTACACCTTAAAAAAAAGGTAATAATAAATAAATAAGCTATAATATTTAAGTGTGGGAGAGCCATGCTTCGGCACGAATGGGCCGGCTCGACCGGAGTGATACCACGGCCTCACAGAAAACCGACGTGAAGCAACGCTTGCATTGTGTTTCGTCGCGTGAGTGAGGTTACCGGAGGCCCAATTTCCCTCCCCTTCCCCAATCTCCCCAATC